GACACCCGTGACCCAGACATCCGTGACCTGCACCAGACACTCGTGACCTGTACCAGACACCCGTGACCTGCACCACACCCGTGACCTGACACCAGACACCCATGACCTGCATCAGACACCTGTGACATTAAACCAGACACCCGTGACCTGTACCAGACATCTGTGACCTGCACCAGACACCCGTGACCTGCGCCAGACACTTGTGACATTAAACCAGACACTCGTGACCTGCACAAAACACCCGTGACCTGTACCAGACATCCGCGACCTGCACCAGACACTTGTGACATTAAACCAGACACCCGTGACCCGCACCAGACATCGCCAACAAGACACCTGGCACCTGTGACCCGTAGCAAACAGACACCAGTGCCAAAAATCTGTGACACAAGACCTGACACCTGTGCCTAGTATCTGTGACAACACCTGACACCTGTGCCTTGATACCTAATACCTGTGAGTGAAAACTTGCCGCAAAACTACTAACTCTTGTGACTTAAAACTTGGGAAACGCAGGAAAAACCCAAAGAAACACATCTTAACACCCATGACGTGAGCATCAAGGCAGGTGAGCCAGAAGTCATAAATTGAGAGATGAAGGCAGGTAAGGGACGGCACCAGAGCCATGTTCAGGCTACTGCCAAGACAAACCACTTATGAAGGGCAGGTCTGGGAGGGGAGGGGTGAGATGTAGGACGGGAGGGGGGATGTAGAGAGAGGATGGGAGGAGGGGGGATGAGAGGAGATAGAGGGGGGATGTAGAAGAGGGGAGGGGTGTACGAGAGGAGGTGAGGGGTGTACGAGAGGAGGTGAGGGGGATGTAGGAAAGGAGGGGGAGGGATGTAAGAGAGGAGGAGGAGGTGTAGAAGACGGGAGAGACAAAGATAATGGCATCACTTCCTTCACTCTCTAATTAAGCTTCTTATCCCTCACTAACAACCATCTCTCTCCCTCACGTAAGATAACCTGCCTGCCCCATGCATCTGGAACTATACCTAAACACGAACCCAATTTCTGCCACACACTGACTGACTCGCTCGTAACCATATCCAACATGAACATAATATCCACCACACATAACTGACACTTTTATTTAAATGTGTCCTCAAACTAAACTCCCGAGTGACAACCTTTCTTATACCCAACATGAATACAGGGTATATAATAATATTGCACACCTCTGTAAAGTCACGTCCCAAAACTCACTCAGAAGAGACACAGGATAATAGACGACGACAACCAACCTACTGAGACTGCATGCCTTAATAATCTCACCAGGAGCATAATGTCAGAATATATTTGTGTATTGTTTTTGAGTTTTGCCTGTGTATTTTTTCACCTGCACTCTTGTTCTGAATTAATAAAACAAAATTATTCTAAAATGAACTACCCGGTATAACACAAGGCGCAGCAGCAGCAGGTGCCACACATTCCCGCGAGTGACACACGAGCATTCTTGCTGGGTTTCTTGCCACTTCCTCTGTCAGGCAGACGTCGTTTCAGAAAATGAGGAGAACTCGGTGATCATTACGAGGGGACTGCCTGCATCTTTACCCAGGTCCCCGTCAGCAGCCTCACGCCCCACGGCAACTGGAGGTCCTGGTTTTTGCGTTCACGATATATGTTTAGACTTCAACCATTACCATCCATTTTCCTCTCCCACCATACACAAGTCTTCAACGAATTATGCTCTTCCTCTAACATTTTTCAGTAGCCTTCTCTGCCACACCTTCCCGTCATATAATTCTTCCCACCTATGTTATCTCATCCATCATCTTGTTTCTTCTCTCATTTCCCTGTAATGTTATCTCATCTCTTACCTATTCTATATTCTTTTCCTACTTTATGCCCCTTTCTCCAAGTTCTCTCTCATTTTGTTTCTAATTCTCGCGTAATCATCTTCTAACCTATTATTTGTCCTATTCTATTCTTTTATCCTTTCAAATCGAGCTCTTTGTATTTAGTTCCTACATATTGTACAGTCCCCTTCACTAGTGCATTTACTACTACGAGTTTCCTTCTGTTGAATGTAAACAAACAGCGCTGCCACACTGCACAAAACTTTGACGAGCCGTCTTATTAACTCTCCTCCTTTAGTTGACAATCTTTCTTCCCTTTCTCTTCGCCGCAATGTTGCTTCACTCTCTCTCTCTGTTACAGGTATTTTAACAGGCAATGTTCGGTGGATTTGGTATCCTGTGTACCACCGGCAAGGCCGTGGGTTCGTAACACACGTCTTGCACGCGGTGCCCACCGTTTCTCTGTGGATGTCGGTCACACTAGAATAACCCGTTATAGTACATCCTTCTTTCCTCACACAGCTAAACTGTGGAATGCTCTGCCTTCTGCGTTTCCATACTTTAAAAAGCTGGTTTCCGGCATCTTCGTGGTGTAGATTAACACAGTATAACCTTTTTCTTCTCTATTTTTAATTTCTTTCTGTTCTTATTTTTTCGCCCCCCCAGGCCCCGTTGTGGGTCGTTCGACCTGTGCCCGGGTGGGCTAATTCCCGTAAAAAAACAAAAACAAAAAACAGCAACAACAACACTAGTGAAGGGGATTGTACATTCTCCCAAACACCATCACTCCTTCCCAATCTCTATCTCCCAAACACCATCACTCCTTCCCAATCTCTATCTCCCAAACACCATTATTCCCACCCACTCATTTATGTCTTCCCTTTACCAATTCTCTTTAATCCGTTATTCTCTTTCATGTCCAATTAAAATAAAACAAAACAAAAGCAATATTTATTATTCATGTTCAGTGTTAGCAAAAATATCTTTGAACAAATCTTATAAAACTGTAACCATATATTGATTCGCATCTGTTAGAATAACGGAAGAACTTCATATATTCCTGAAGGCTTGTGTCTGGACAATAATGGAGGAGGAAGCACGTACGGGGAAGGAGTCGCCTGCGGGAGGTATGTGTTATTTCTTAATTAATGTCCCGCCACACTCCTGCTATACACTAGGCGGAGCACGGAGCTCGCCGTGCTATTAATCTTTCAAGATGTGTAGCGTGAAGGATGGACACACACACGTAACGCAGTACCAAGCTACGACAGCTCTCATTACTACACAACCCAACAACACCTCTGTGTGATGTAGTAACATTGTACACAGTACAGTAACAAACATAAGTGGAGAATTAACAGAGTATATTATAAGGCAACTGCAATAGTATGTGTGACTTAAATTCCTGTTAGATTTGAACAGAGAGAACTGAGGTGTGGATTAGTTCTGACAGTTGGTCCAACAAGCGTGAGGGCCAATTAAGGAGAGCGGATACAGTACACAGTTGACTAAGCCTTTCTTGGGTGGCCGGCATTACACTCGAACACTTTCATATTTCACCTCCATCACAGCCTTGGGGCTGAGCCAGCGATCCTTATGAGAGAAGGCGGGTGAACACGAGAACAGTCGAGGTGTTGGATTCGATAATGTATTTAATATCATAATAATACATCTAAAAGATCACCTGTAATTAATATTTATATAGAAATCCAAGTTCGATTGCTTTAATAAATTATTATGCTAAACAACAATTTTACGTTTAAACGATATATATATATATATATATATATATATATATATATATATATATATATATATATATATATATATATATATATATATATATATATATATATATATATAATTTGTAACCAAACTAGAAAATCCCCAACCCATCCTTGTAATAACATTCTAGTGCACTCATCAAAGTTTTCAAATAAAATATATTTTTCAATGCATATTAACTATACTACACTGTAGGGTATAGTAATAATACTTCACTATAAGTCTACTATATATTCATCTAGGAGGGAGGCAACCTTTGCAACACAGCTGTGGCCTTGAAGCTAGAGAGAGGTCAGGTGTATCGGAGGTGGTACAAGTGTGTTCGTGTCGGCGGGAAGGTGACGTACCCCGTTATCTGATACAAGCCAGAAGAAGTCCTGCCCTGCCCTCGGCTCAACCTGGTAACAAGAGTATAATGGCCTCCAGGCAGGTGTTTTAAGGGTGTATCTCTAACCTCCAGGCAGGTGTTTTAAGGGTGTATCTCTAACCTCCAGGCAGGTGTTTTAAGGGTGTATCTCTAACCTCAAGGCGGGTGTTTTAAGGGTGTATCTCTAACCTCCAGGCAGGTGTTTTAAGGGTGTATCTCTAACCTCCAGACAGGTGTTTTAAGGGTGCATCTTTAACCTCAAGGCAGGTGTTTTAAGGGTGTATCTCTAACCTCCAGGCAGGTGTTTTAAGGGTGCATCTTTAACCTCCAGGTAGGTGTTTAGGCATCTTTAACCTCAAGGCAGGTGTTTTAAGGGTGCATCTTAAACCTCCAGACAGGTGTTTAAGGGTGTATCTCTAACCTCCAGGCAGGTGTTTGTTTTAAGGGTGTATCTCTAACCTCCAGGTAGGTGTTTTTTAAGGGTGTATCTCTAACCTCCAGGCAGGTGTTTTAAGGGTGTATCTCTAACCTCCAGGCGGGTGTTTTAAGGGTGTATCTCTAACCTCCAGGCGGGTGTTTTAAGGGTGTATCTCTAACCTCCAGGCGGGTGTTTTAAGGGTGTATCTCTAACCTCCAGGCAGGTGTTTTAAGGGTGTATCTCTAACCTCCAGACAGGTGTTTTAAGGGTGTATCTCTAACCTCCAGGCAGGTGTTTTAAGGGTGTATCTCTAACTTCCAGACAGGTGTTTTAAGGGTGCATCTTTAACCTCAAGGTAGGTGTTTTAAGGGTGTATCTCTAACCTCCAGGCGGGTGTTTTAAGGGTGTATCTCTAACCTCCAGGTAGGTGTTTTGTTTTAAGGGTGTATCTCTAACCTCCAGGCGGGTGTATCCCCACGCTTTGTGTGGTCGCTCTAAGGTGAAGAAACCCTTTTGTACTAACCCAAAAAAGTTTCTCTGTCAAGAGTTAACACGTGTTAAAGATTCCTCTATGTTATGAAACAGTCACCAACACTATTGATGGTAAGAGGCAAGTTCGTAAAATATCGACATGACTTGTCCTTCCTCGAGAGTGAGGCGCTGGGAGGTGGAAGATACCAGGAGAGTGACACCCTAGATGGGGAGAGTGAGGCAGTAACACTCTAAAGATAAAGGGGAAGGGGGGGGGATGAGGGAGAGAAGTCTTGACATCTTTAAAAATTCCCCAAACAATAGCCAGTGGAAGGAGCGCCCAGGTCGCCTCCCCCAACACCCCAAACAATACAAACTCTCGTTGTTAATGGTGCCCATTTCTTGCTCACACCACAACACAAAGACCATCAAGGGACACACACACACAATACTCACCATGCTCTCACTTTCCTCTAAATATTTCAGTATAACAAAGCCCAGCAGGGACACACCTTCGCTGCTACTCTTGAGTTTTCACTATCGATTCTCAACGCAACCATGAACTCAGAGCTGATATATTTTGATCATGGAACAACAACTACTTCCAAAAGGTGCAAAACGCGTTCCAGCCACACTCCGACGCACCCCACAGAGCAGCCACCAGCCACACTCCAGCGCGCCCCACAGAGCAGCCACCAGCCACACTCCAGCGCGTCCCACAGCAGCCACCAGCCACACTCCAGCAGGCCCCACAGAGCAGCCACCAGCCACACTCCAGCGCGTCCCACAGAGCAGCCACCAGCCACACTCCAGCGCGTCCCACAGAGCAGCCACCAGCCACACTCCAGCGCGTCCCACACAGCAGCCACCAGCACACTCCAGCGCGTCCCAGCAGCCACCAGCACATTCCAGCGCGTCCCAGAGCAGCCACCAGCACACTCCAGCGCGTCCCACAGAGCAACCACCAGCCACACTCCAGCAGCCCCACAGAGCAGCCACCAGCACACTCCAGCGCGTCCCACAGGCAGCCACCAGCCACACTCCAGCGCGTCCTGCAGCACAGCAGCCACCAGCAAGCAGCAACCACCAGCCACACTCCAGCGCGTCCTGAGCAGCCACCAGCCACACTCCAGCGCGCCCCACAGAGCAGCCACCAGCCACACTCCAGCGCGTCCCTGAGCAACCACCAGCACACTCCAGCGTGTCCCAGCAGCCACCAGCCACCCACCCAGCGCGCCACAGAGCAGCCAAGCCACCAGCCACCAGCCACACTCCAGCGCGCCCACAGAGCAGCCACCAGCCACACTCCAGCGCGTCCCACAGAGCACAGCCACCAGCCCCACAGAGCAGCCACCAGCCACACTCCAGCGCGTCCCAACCACCAGCACACTCCAGCGCGCCCCACAGAGCAACCACCAGCCACACTCCAGCGCGTCCAGAGCAGCCACCAGCCACACTCCAGCAGGCCCCAGGCAGCCACCAGCCACACTCCAGCGCGTCCAGCAGCCACCAGCACACTCCAGCGCGCCCCACAGAGCAACCACCAGCACAATCAGCGCGTCCTGAGCAGCCACCAGCACACCAGCAGCCCACAGAGCAGCCACCAGCCACACTCCAGCGCGTCCCACAGAGCAGCCACCAGCCACACTCCAGCACCCCACAGAGCAGCCACCAGCCACACTCCAGCGCGTCCCTGGGCAGCCAACAGCCACACTCCAGCGCGCCCCACAGAACAGCCACCAGCCACACTCCGACGCACCCCACAGAGCAGCCACCAGCCACACTCCGGCGCGGCAACCACCAGCCACACTCCGGCGCGTCCCAGAGCAGTCACCAGCCACACTCCAGTGAGCCCCACAGAGCAGCCACCAGCCACACTCCAGCGCGCCCCACAGCCACCAGCCACACTCCAGCGCGCCCCACAGAGCAGCCACCAGCCACTCCAGCGCGCCCCACAGCAGCCACCAGCCACTTCAGCGCACAGAACAGCCACCAGCCACACTCCGGCGCGTCCCACAGAGCAGCCACCAGCCAGCAGCCACCAGCCACCACTCCGGCGCGTCCCACTCCGGCGCGTCCCACTGAGCAGCCACCAGCCACACCCCGGCGCGTCCCACAGAGCAGCCACCAGCCACACTCCAGCGGGCCCCACAGAGCAGTCACCAGCCACACTCCAGCGCGCCCCACAGAGCAGCCACAATATATTCTTAAAATAAACCGATGAAAATGTAATAGTTCAGCAAAATAAAACCACACGTACAAAGGCAAAACAACAACAAGAGGGTCTTAAGTGTGGCTGGCCGTAAGTGATGTGGCCCCCAAGCAACTGTACTGCCACCATTCTTCCCTCCCGGGGTTATCGCTCTACCATCACTCACTCACATTAAAACTTACTACGGTCATTAATCCCGTCTTTATCCCTTATTATTAAAACCAACCTTATATACAGTATAAACCAGACAACACACAACCCTCCCCCTACACACACCAAGAATCTTATTCGCGAGAACTAACCCATCCAAAGCCTGCAGCTCTTCTCCCATCCGCCCGACATGAGGCGTCCACTCTGCCAGCGACCTCTAAGCCCAACACAATAGCAGGCAATATTTTAACGTGGGCGTGAGGACCTTTGTAAAGCTTTGGCAGTGGGCGGCAAGGACAGTCAGAGTTAGGTGGGCGCACTGTAAAGGATTATCACCATACAGGGAGGAGTGTTCCCTGGGTGCTGGTACTGCCCCCACACACACACACACACTACAACAGTGGTGAGGTGGAGACCACATTATGGAGCAACACTCACCCTGGGCGGTGCTCCGTGACGGCTGACTCATGCGGAGGACGACTCATTACCTGCCTCTCACTACCACCCTCCTGCTGCCTCACCCTCAACCTCCTCCCTCCCTCACCCTGGCCCTCACTACGACATTCATTCTTCCCGCTCCCCCCCATTTTCTGCAAGCCGAAAGCCCTCTTTATTACTTTATTACGACTTTATTACTTGAAAATCAAACTCAGAACAAATGATGTCGAGAGAACTGACCTCACCATTATACTGCTACACCACCTTTCAATACATGTGGTTGTTGTCACATGTTACAGAGTCTTCTTCCTGGGCGTACACTGGGACAGTCTCTGAACATGAGTCATACTCTTCCCCACACACACATACATACACCCCACAGCCCAGACACACCTCTTCAGCTCCAGGGGGACAGGTTACCTTCATCTCATACCATAACTCAACTCCCTCGTAACTTCCATCAGTTGGGGTAATGTCAGGATCACACCTTCTCTCTCCTGTGATAAACTCCCACTGATCTAAACATCTGATCATGATTTTTTTATGGAGTAACTATTTCATAAATCAACCGTACGAAGTAATAAAACAACGCCATTAAGTGTAAATACAAAAATAAATGAAAAGAAAAGTCTTGGTAGAAAAATAGAGTGACAGAGAAGACATTTCCAAGTGGTACATCATAAGAGAATTTATTTTGGTAAGTCAACACTCTTTTGGTGGAAATTACTGTACTACCTTTATGACAACCTTACATCTGGCTATTTAAGTAACAAGTAATGAGTGAGCGGCAAAATATGATCTCTATCCTGTTAAGAAGAATTAAAATAATTACTAACCTAAAACTGTTGATGGAAATAATCATGTTCCCCAAACAAACACCAAGTAACAGTTGTTGTGGCGGAAGCTGACCATGCGTCTCTCTTGACCGACCTTGACTATGTGACTAACACCCGAGTGTGCAAGTGATGACGTCACTACCCATGTATCCCAAGTACACAAACTGTGATGCCACCGAGCCAGCGTGATGAGTGTATCAAAGTGACGTCCAACTTAATTTAAAATAGACATCCAGACTTTCCTGTGTTGATGATCCGCCGTCAACAGACACAAGAGACACCACCTTCTAAAAGTGTGACGTCATCATTGAAGTTGCGAATGCGTCAAAGGTTTTTGCGTCTCCCTCTCAGCCAGCGAGAGCACAAGCATTTCCTGTAGCACAGCGATGAGTGTACTGTGTTGCTGACTGATAGCACCGAGTTAGCGGGAGGCCACGTTGGTTATATCAGGACCTGCTCACCCCGCCCCGCCCCGCTAGTCCTTACTCACGTCTCTTTTTTTTACCCCTTATCCCATCCCCTACCTTCCCTGTCACGGCCCTCACCACTATGCCCTTCCTCACGGCCCTCACCACTACGCCCCACCTCACGGCCCTCACCACTACGACCCTCATCACGGCCCTCACCACTACGCCCCTCACGGCCCTCACCACTATGCCCCTTCCTCACGGCCCTCCCCACTACGCCCTCCTCACGGCCCTCACCCTCACGACCCTCCCCCACGGCCCTCACCTATGCCCTTCCTCACGGCCCTCACCACTACGCCCCTCCTCACGGCCCTCACCACTACGGCCTCGGCCCTCACCCTATGCCCCTTCCTCACGGCCTCACCACCACCCACCTCACGGCCTCACCACCAGCCCTCCTCACGGCCCTCACCACAACGCCCCTCCTCACGGCCCTCACCACTACGCCCCTCCTCCTCCTGGCCCTCACCACTACGCCCTCCTCCTCACGGTCCTCACCACCCCACACGGCCTCCCACTTGCCCTCCCGGCCTCCCACCACGCCCCTCCTCTCCACGGCCCTCACCACCCCCACCTCCCTGTTCCCACCTAGCCCCTCACGGCCCTCACCACCGCCCCACCTCACGGCCCTCTGCCTAGCCTCTCCCCGGCCTCCTAGCCCTCTCACGGTCCTCACCACTATGCCCCTCCTCGGCCCCCTCACGCCCCTCGGCCCTCCACTTAAGCCTCCTCCGGCCTCACCTGGCCCCTCCCCTCACGGCCTCCTGCCCCTCCTCACGGCCCCCACCACGCCCTCCTCGGCCTCCCCTAAGCCTCCTCACGGTCCTCACCACTGCCCCTCCTCATGGCCCTCCCACCACCGCCCCACCTCGCGGCCTCACCCTCAGCCCTCCTCACGTACCACTAAGCCTCCTCACGGCCCTCACCACTACGCCCCTCCTCCAGCCCCTCACCACCACGCCCCTCCCGGCCCCTCACAAGCCCTCACCACTAGCCTCTCACGGCCTCACCACCGCCTCCCTCACGGCCCCTCACCTACGCCCTCCTCCTCACGGCCCTCACCACCTAAGCCTCCTCAGCCCCTCACCACCACGCCCCTCCTCCAGCCTCACCACTAGCCCTCCTCACGGCCCCTCACCACCCCCACCTCCCCGGCCTCACCCTGCCCCTCCTCACGGCCCTCACCACCTAAGCCCTCCTCACGGCCTCACCACTCGCCCCTCCTCCTCACGGCCCTCACCACTAGCCCTCCTCAGCCCCACCTACGCCCTCCTCCCCGGCCCTCACCTAAGCCCCTCCTCAGGGCCTCACCCTGCCCACCTCGGCCCTCAACACTACCTCCCCTCAGCCCTCTGCCTACGCCTCCCCTCCCGGCCCCACTCCCCTCGGCCCCTCAACACTACGCCCCCCTCCTCCAGCCCCTCCACCCTACGCCCCTCCTCCTCACGGCCCCTCACCCTATGCCCCTCCTCATGGCCCTCACCACCTACGCCCCTCCCCGGCCCTCACCACTAAGCCCCTCCTCGGCCTCACCCTAGCCCCTCCCCACGGCCCTCACCACCCCCGCCTCCTCAGCCCTCACAAGCCTCCTCGGCCTCACCACTCGCCCTCCTCCCGGCCCTCACCACCTAAGCCTCCTCCCACGGCCCCCACCACTACGCCCTCCCCTCACGGCCCTCACCACTAGCCCCTCCTCAGGGCCCTCCCCCACTACAGCCCCTCAACCCTCCTCCGGCCCCTCCACCCTCCTCCTCGGCCCCTCACCACTACGCCCCACCTCACGGCCTCAACTGCCCCTCCTCGGCCCTCACCACTACGCCCCTCCTCCTCGGCCCCCACCACTGCCCCCTCCTCACGGCCCCTCACCCTGCCCCCTCACGGCCCTCACCTACGCCCCCCTCCTCCTCACGGCCCTCACCACTACGCCCCTCCTCCTCACCGGTCTCACACACCACAACAATCAATCACTCAATCTACACCACCTCGATAAGGCACACACAGCCGTATAAATCCTGTGTGGTGGGGGATTGAGGCAGGTCGAGGAGGCGCCTCGCCACCCTCTCCACCCTCACACATTTATCATGGCTACTGCAGGGCTTTCTAGAACAGCCTAAACCACAGCTTTCCTTCACATCACGTTCGCATGATCACAAATTTCACGTGATAAACTCTATAACCGCCGTCGCCATCAGTGTCTGGTAAACACAACAGCACTTGAACACACTTGCACGGTCGCTGCCAATGTGTTAAATCCACCACAGTGTCTCGGGATTCAATAAAAATTTTAAATTCACTCGACCATCGACCAATAATTTGCAACTTTCTAATGGATTCTTACCGGCTATTCAACACACCTATCTAAATATATAGTGTTCAAGTGTGTCTAGATATGGTGAAAAAAAAATTATTGGAACAAAATATGACCAGTGTGTATTTCTAAACAACACAAGAGATTTTCACGATAACTTACGAGCGACATTTTAACAATAGTCCAGCACAATAAACCATGAAACAACTCAAAAAAGACAACCTAACCTAACTTAACGCTGACCTAATCTCGACTAGACTAACCCAACACTAACCGAACCTAAAGCTACCTTAACATAAGCTAGCCTAATCTAACCGAACTCCAACTTTGCCTTACGTAACCTAACCTAAACTAACCCGTCTGGTGATTCAACAATTGTTTCAAATGTTAACTCTTCTCTTCAATTAAAGAAATGTAACTATCTACTGTGAATATTTAACTTACAACCTGTGGTTCACCTCATCAAGGCTCACAGCACCACCTACAACCTGTGGTTCACTTCATCAAGGCTCACAGCACCACCTACAACCTGTGGTTCACCTCATCAAGGTTCACAGACCACCTACAACCTGTGGTACACCTTATCAAGGCCACAGCACCACCTACAACCTGTGGTTCACTTCATCAAGGCTCACAGCACCACCTAAACCTGTGTTCACCTCATCAAGGCTCACAGCACCACCTACAACCTGTGGTTCACTTCATCAAGGCTCAAAGCACCACCTACAGCCTGTGGTTCACCTTATCAAGGTTCACAGCACTACCTGCAACCTGTGGTCTACTTCATCAAGGCTCACAGCACCAC